GAAGAACCAGTCCTGAGGTCCAGAGTCACAGTTAGTCTGGTCTGTGGTCCCAGAAGAACCAGTCCTGAGGTCCAGAGTCACAGTTAGTCTGGTCTGTGGTCCCAGTAGAACCAGTCCTGAGGTCCAGAGTCACAGTTAGTCTGGTCTGTGGTCCCAGTAGAACCAGTCCTGAGGTCCAGAGTCACAGTTAGTCTGGTCTGTGGTCCCAGTAGAACCAGTCCTGAGGTCCAGAGTCACAGTTAGTCTGGTCTGTGGTCCCAGTAGAACCAGTCCTGAGGTCCAGAGTCACAGTTAGTCTGGTCTGTGGTCCCAGTAGAACCAGTCCTGAGGTCCAGAGTCACAGTTAGTCTGGTCTGTGGTCCCAGTAGAACCAGTCCTGAGGTCCAGAGTCAGAGTTACTCTGGTCTGTTAGAATGTTGGTCTCAGTCTCAGCTGTCTTTGTCTCTCCTGGTCCTTTTAGGCTCCAGCTGGTCTCAGCGGTCCTGTTCAGGTCCAGGTTTAGCCTGTAGAACAGTGTTGGTGTAGTTTGTTCTGACCACCAGCAGAGGGCAGCATCACAGCTGAATAAACCTGCAGCAGGTTCTCTCTGACAGAATCCAGACCCGTTCAGTTCTACCTGCTGACCCGCTCGGCCCAGGCGTGTGTGGTTCTGGACCTCAGGAGAACTTACTCTCTGTCGATGACGAGGCAGGTGACGGGGTCGACAGCGACGACGTTGGCTGTTCTAACATCCTCCCTGAGAATAAAAACAGAACCAAGAATTAACCAATCGGACCAGAACCCTAAAGTACCACAGGGTGGGGTCAAAGGTCACGTGGGTCACATGGTCTTACCCCTGCAGCGCCCGCTCTCCGAACCAGTCTCCTCTGCCCAGCTCCCGCAGGTGGACCATCTCCTTGTTGGTGGAATCCCCCTGGGTGACGTTCACCTGAAAGGGGGCGGGGTTAGAGTCAGCTGATCGGAAACCATGAGGTCACTGGTGAGGAAGAGGAGGGTGGACCCACCCTGCCCATGCTGATGATGAAGAAGGTGTCTCCTCGGGCTCCCTGACGGATGATGTACTCCCCGTCGTCGTAGTGAGTCTGAACACAGAGCGCAGCATCTGATTGGTCGGTTCTGACTGGGCGGGCGATGATGAGGGTGGTGATGATGAACTCACCTCCTCCATGACGTCGGCCAGTTTACTGAGAGTCTCCTCCTGGAGGTCCTGGAAGGTCGGAACGCTGCGAGGAGATCCAAACAGAGAACGGGTCTGAGTTCAGTTTGAAAGGTTCTGTTTGGGTTCTAGTTCTGAGGCCCGTCACCTCTTCAGGAAGTCCATGTACTCGGCGTGTTTGATGAGTCCGGTTCTCATCATGATGGTCTGGAAACACTGCCGGTCGATGGCCCACAGCTTCACGTGGGTCAGAGCTGAAACAGAACCAGAACCATCAGAGCATCAGCTGGGTGTGGAGAGAACGGGTCAGGATCTGGATCAGAGCCATGATGTGAACACATGAATGATCTGACCCGACCCAGTCTGACCCAACCAGACTCAATCAGACCTGTTCTGACCCAATCTGATTAGCTCAGTTCTATCAAGTCCACAGAAATTCTGAGATTTTAAAGAATTTTTATTTTCTTTGACTCTGATGAATCTGAAACTGATTTAAGACTGGTCTAAACCCAATTTGGAATGTGTCCGAAACATGTTTAATTCTAGTCTGAAACTGGTCTGAAACAGGTTTAAAACTAATCTGAAACTGGTCTGACACTGGTTTAAAACTGATCTAAAACAGGTTTAAAACTAGTCTGAAACAGGTTAAAACTAGTCTGAAACAGGTCTGGAACTGGTCTGAAACTAGTTTAAAAATGGTCTGAAACTGGTTTAAAACTGATCTAAAACAGGTTTAAAACTAGTCTGAAAC